TATCTTTACTGAGCCAATGATCAGTACGTTTGCTCTGCCATGCTTCTCATTTGTATGTTTAGCAATATTTGTTTTTTGTTAAAAGAATTGTTCTATTACTATCATTATTGTTGTTTTTGTTGTTGTTTTCAGGAGAGAGCTCATAAGTATTACAGTGGAATGACCAAGGAGCAATTTAGGAAAATGCAAGAATTTATAACAGGTCGAGGTTCAAAAAAACCTCCTTCCAAATTATAGGTAAGATGTACTGATTTTCTATGAATAATCACATAATGGCCCCTACAGCATTATCTGAACTCCATCATAATAATGATGTTGTTGATCTCTTGGGCAATTTTAACATATTGTAGTTTCTATTTAATGAATTTCTGCTGGTGAAATGGATATTCGAGCACTTGTAGGATATAACAATTTATTACACGATAACTAACTAGTATTTAACTTAAAACGGTTGGTACATTCTTTCATCGCGAGTTTGAATTAGATTGTAAATCAGTATGTATTCTCATATAAAAGTTAATGTATGTATGTTACTTAAAATCGAGAAATATAAGTGTTCTCAATAATTGTCAATTAGTGGGTGAGTTTTAACACGAGTTGGACTAGGCTTGGCTCGGTACGGGATAAGAGAGTAGAGATGTCAACTGGGTAGAGAGAGAGATCTGTAAAGCACAAATTGGGCTAAAGTTTTGATTGACTGAGGAAAAAAGCTAAATGATTTATCACTTGGATTGATTTGACCCTACTACAGGCTTGACTTTAGGGAGAAAATTACAAATACTAAACTGGGCTGAACTAATTTGATGGGCCATTTTGTCTCAGCCCAGTCCCAGAAGCAGAGACAATGTCTTGTGAACTCCATTGACATGTTCTCTCTATATTTAGTAATAAATGACAAACTTTATCTAAGCATTGTTTATTAATTTTGAAACTCTTAATACTTGATCTGTGTGGTGGTGACTGATAATGCAGTCTTCTGTAGTCTTTTAAGTTCAAAGAGTTAAACATTATAGCTAGGTTTGTAGGTAATAATACTCATAATAATTATGCTAGTTTTGTTAATGGATCCAGGGTGTTCATTAATCAAGCACTAAATGTTAGTGGCTGGACTATGTATGATCATGGTATGAGTGAAAACTTGAAGATCAATTATTCATAGTAAATGGAATTTAACCTGACAGTTCTGACTTCCCATATTTTTAATTTTCAAAAAACTACCAAATTTTTATGAAAGAAACCAAAAAAAAAAAAACCCATTAAATTTTCATAGGTTTCTAATTTTGTAATTTTTTCATGTAATATTAAGTTTTGTTTTAAATATCATGTTTTTTTTTTGGAAGTAATCATGTCAATAAAAGTTGAATATTTAATGAATTTTCTGGAATCACTATGTATATTATATATTATATATATATATATACATTCACTCCATTATTTTTTACCATAAATTGCAAATTATATCTTTTTCTTTTCATTGACCATCAAACCCTAATCATAATTACTTAATTTAGTGGCTGCACAGGACACAAACCCTAATCAATTAATCGTGATTCCCAACCCTATACCATGCCTCTTTCTACTACAAATTAACACATTATATCCTTGAAACAGCAACTTTCACCATCTGCCTATATATATGCATATATTATCTCCCTCTTGGATCATCCTTTAATTGCATTACCCAAAAAATATTCAAGACCCAGGTATATATATATATGTATATATCCCTAGCTGCTCTCTATGTACATATATGCTTTATATATATATATATGTGTATATTTATATATACATTCATGTTTTTAGTTTAGTTCATTATATATAGCTTTTGCATGAAATTAAAAATATATACATACATATATCTGTTTCCAATTGAATTATGTGATAAAACTGAATTGAATTATATGCAAATGTTAAATATCTACTTCTAATCAACTCTTTGCAGCAGGTATTAATTAGCTTGGCGCCGAGTACTCGATCACAACGATGAAGAACCTAGCAATCACGCTCTTGTTTGCTATTATGATGGTGTTGGTGACTCGGGAAGCCGATGCACGCCTTGCTTCGAAAGATTATTACAATGGTAAAAATGCTAATTACAAGGATGAAATTGATAATGACAGTGCTGAAGCTTCAAGAAAAAAACTAGTGGCAAGTACTGGAAAAACGATGAATACATATAGTTACGGTGTTGATACAGTCGGTGATGATAGTAATGACACGGGTGAAGGTTCTACTGGTGGAGACGGGATGCGTCACCGCCAATGGCGAACTGCGAATCAACCCGAGGTCCCTAGCAAAGGTAATAAAAGATTAGTTACAAATAATAACTAACGGCGTATGTATGAACATATATGCACTGTCTAAAACGATAATGGATGATGCGACTATCTGTGTTTATATACATATATATCCATATATAGATATATATGTATGCAGGGGTGTGAAGCTTAATTATAATAAACTGAAGGAGTGCTACTACAACATGTTAAACGGACCAGGCATGCATGTAAACTATGATATGGCCAGCCGACATGTTTAGTTTCAATTTGTGTTTTGAGGTATTACTGTTCGATCCGTATGTATGCATGTTTCATATTTATATGTATATGTATATACGTATACATGATCATGCAGTATTGGTTTATGTTACGTGCTATATATGTAATTGGCACGTTCTTTTGAAAGAATAAAACTCGTGTATCTTATTTATGCTTGATTTTAGTTTCTAGTAGTAGCTAGTTTTCATTACTTGACAATATAGGAAGTTACACAGTCTATATATATATATAACGTAAAATGATATATATATTCAGTCTGAATGACAATTCTCAAATAAATATATATATATATGTATATATATATATATATATATATATATATATATAACGTAAAATGATATATATATTAACAGTCTGAATGACAATTCTCAAATAAATTAGATAAACAATAATAAAAATGCATGGGAACTCTTTCCATCGATTGATCCGACTGAGATGAGAAAAGAGGCATCAAATTATGTTTTAGAAAAGTGAGACCTTCGATCGAGAGCAAATTAAGCTGAAATTGCATAACAAAACTGCATATACACACACATATATATAT